CGACGTTCCCTCTTTTTCCCATACAATGTTTCTGTCTATCGAAGTTATAAAAAGTGCATCGTCCAAACGAAATGCTATTAACCGTTTAACCTCAGTCAAAAATAAAATGCGTCGTCTGGCTAATAAATGACTTAACAACTTGTCTTTGGCTTGTAAATGGTCGAATCCAAGTAGCTAAGTAGAACTCAAATAAAAAAATGTCTCTTATTTACTTGGTTGTTTTTAATTCCGTGGTTTATTATATGTGTTTATTATATTTTTATGATTCAAAACTAAAATTTTCAAAACAAATTATGGAATTCGCCGAATTGCCTATTAATAACTAAAAAAAATTTACTGTTCGTTTTTGTTATAAAAATAATTAGACCCTTTTTATACTTGACATAAAAAATATGCGTATCTTTTTAAATGAATGTCAGAGTTATTGTGAGGGCTAAAATTACATAATTGATTGTAAAGTTTGAGAATCTTTACTCGCGCGCCACCGAATGCTGACCACCTGTACAAACCATGATGAGTATGCATCATTGTGCAAGTTGAGAAACAAGTTGTGGCCCTCCTCGATTGCTCAACTATACAGAAAATTGTATGCAATACTACTGGATAACTCTCAGACTGACAAACACTGAAATTACTCTCTTCAACGTAGATGGACTCATCAAATATAGCTAAAGTAACAAAAGTTCTTAATAATTTATTTGGATACTTACTGATGGCGAGCTGTTTTCCCGTTCACTATAAAAGTAGTAAGTGTTTACCCGCGACGTTGCTCTCGTATGATATAGTTTACCGCTTTATAATATACACCTAGACAAGAACAAAAATAATTAATTTGGTTTGTAACTCCTGTTATGATATAAGTAAATTATTTATAAAACAGCATACAGAGTAAATTTCTATATCCATTTTAATTTATGATACCCTAAGCTAACTTAACTACTAAAGAAATTTCCTAGTCAGTAGTAACGGGTTCATAACTTGTAGTACGGTCCTAGCAATTAGTATAATGAAGCTCGGGAACGCATTCAAGAAGATATATTAATACTCAAAGATACGTATACAAGAAATATCGTGTGAAAGTTAGTACTATCAAGCTTGTATTACAGGCATTACTAGTCAAGTTTGTGGTGATTTTTAATCCTAATCATTATCAGACGGAAATGATATATAATTATTAGAGTTAATTACGTATTAGTTTTTATTAAGTTAGATTCAATATTTTCTCTTCCTTTTACCATTATTTCTTAATAAGCTTAATCAATATTTAGGCAAGATTACATGTTATATAAGGTCTTCAATATAATAAAATTTCAAATCTAAAAAGAAAACAATGAAAAAATTTCCTCATCAAAATGACTGCAGTGAAAAGACAATCAAAAAACAATACTTGTTTATTATATTTGATCAAAATTTGCATTCACAATGCTATACTGAAATTATAGTGAATAATACTTAAGTTCGTTGCCTATTTCAGAGTGCCAGTGACAAATTGGATTTTTGAAGCATTTTTCATTGAGAATATTTTTCAGAATAGCATTGTGAAGTCAAAATTGATCAAATATAATAATTAGAACAAATTTTAATTTTTTTCATAGGTTTAATTATTTGTTAAATATTTCTTTCGGCTGTTTGGGTGGTCCGCCTGAACGTATACGCTTAAACGCTGAACATATACGCGAAAATATACGCTCTATAGTAGCGAAAAAGTAACAAGTGCTTGAAAAATTCGACAATCCAGTCGCCCAGACGACAGTCGCCCGGATTGCGATAGGTAGTGGGTTCGAGTCCCATTCCAGAGTGCCAGGGAGAAAGTAGATTTTTAAGAATTTTTTAATTAAAAATACTTGTTTACTCATTTTCATGACAAATTAGCTAAGAGTTTAATTTTAAGTAGGTAAGTACTTAAAGAGACACAAAATATTTTCAATGGGTATTCATTATGCCTAAAATCTATAATATTGAAGTAAATGATCAATAAAACAGGCGTGAAAATGTAACAGTTTGTCTATATTCATATTGATACTTGATTTAATGTGCACTTATCTTCTTATGGCTTTATTTACACGTCAGTGTGTCGGAAGTCGACTTGCGGTCAACTTAACCACAGTTGATATACATAGTAAACTTACAATGTTAACAGTAGGTAAACCTTAAATAATAGGTAATTTAATTATGTGCATATAGAAAAAAATATGGCTGTCAATTTCATGTTATTAGAAGTAAACAAACTGTGGGAGTATTAACGAAAATTAGTCATCATCGAAGTACATTTTAGGTAATAATGCGCTTATAGACGTGGTTTTCTTTTTTCTCAGGTGTAAGTAGGATAAGAAAGAGAAATAAAGGTGAATATGTATATTTACCGAGGTAACCAAAACAATATAAATTTAAAACAGTATCATATAAGCATGTCTTAACTCATACCTAATTATTTTTTTAATTTTCTACAATTATTCTATTAAATAGGGCTGTGTCTTGACGATTATTGTATACCTGTATATAATACTTGAAAACAATATGTTATTATTATTAATTATTAGCTAGAAGTCAAGTTTATAGCAATTTTTGTCATGACAGAGGTAGAAAACACTAAAAAATATATATATCTCTGTCATAAAAACACAAAAGAAGTTTTTTTTACTATACCTTTTATTTTTGTTACTGTTCTGTGTTATTAATAGCTATACGAGTAATCATCAAAAGCAGTGCATAATTTTAGCAACGCAGTAATAAAAGCGATAACAGAAAAAATAGATGGTAACGTGAATATGCCCCACAGTTTTATTACTGCCTCAGTATTAAAGTACTATAATGTTACCTCATATGATCATTACTAAGAATATTGTTGCATTTTAAACATACTAGCTTTTCAACGAGCAGTATTTTATAAGTTTTACAGCCTTGATATCGGCATATTTAGGTAAACATTATTTTAGACTGAACAATAGTTGCAGGTATGTTTTTATAAATTTCTGTTTTTCTTTTCTCTTAATTCTTGTAAATATAACTCTCTAATAGGTATACCTACGCTTTATCCTTATGATATAGTCGAATCGAATCTGGAGATGGGCCTTGACCGGTCTCTCGAACCCAGTGCGTATTATTAGTTAGTGTTAACCACAGCTTATCGTAGCTCCGTACTTGACCGCCTTTTCTCTAGACAGCGGACCATCCCGTTGATCATCCATCCTTTGTCCGGCCCTTGCGAAAGTTATTTAAATTTTACATTGCAAATCGAACTGCATCATCGACCATATATATTACATAAATATAATTCCTAAAACTATAAACATTCAAATATTATAAAAATGCTGTATTTAATTTCCATACAATAGAATACTCATATGCAATTCTTTCGAAGTAAAAGGAAATCAACAACTTATCACTATGAAAATTACCAAAGTCAGATAGGCGACCCGATATTCCACAGCACATTGTCTGTATTCAACTTTCGCTGATACAATTTCGTTTCTTTCCAACGTGAAAGGGCTAACAAATTGAAATCTCAGTTTCAAACAAGTCACCAGTTGTATTTGCTACGGATCATGAAAAGCCATTGTGGCACGAAACACAAAGACGTCTAACCATTTATTGCCTTCGATTATTGAGTTTGTACATACTTTTACGAGTTTATTTTTTATATACCTTTGTTAAAGCGGGACAGTGTTCTCCGAGCGATCACAATACTGTGCGTAAATTTATTTGTATCGAGACAGTTCGTCAGTTGTTTTAAGAACAGACATCAAAAAATCATATTGTAAGTTTCTTCAATTACTGAACTGAAATAGATGACGTATAATTAATTTGTTTGTCATTTGTCATAATACTCAACATGTATATCATAGATATGTATATTTAAGTATGTACATGCAATTAAACTTATAATTTCACTGATATTAATGCAAGCGTAGACATTGAACAGTTTGACTGTTTATTACGTATGTACCATAATTTGTTCGTGAATTACTACCTATAGCAAATGGTGAACTATCATAGTAGCATCAGTGACATTTTTTTCTAAATAGTTATAAACACCGTATCATAATCTATTGCTATTTTTGTTTTTAACAATACAAAAAGTAACATCATGATTATTGTTTCATAGTCAATCTATATTATTATTTACCCATATAGGTATTCATTTTAAATCCTATTCCATCTCGAGCATCCAAGACTGGATAATTTTTTAATCATTTTTCAATCATTAAAACAAGTATAGCATTATGAATGAAAAGTTAACCAATTACCTATATACAATTATTGTAATATCATATATAGCCTTTGGCAATGTTGAATGTAATACCTATACGGGATTTCATGTTAATTTATTGAGTGGGTACCAAACATTTAAAAAGCTCATTCTATTATGTGCCCTCGTATTATAAGCTATGAAGTAACACGCACCAATTGTTTTACACAAAACGCTCGTGTAAACGACCGCTATTCACTATCAAACATCTCCATTATCTAGATAACTATATGTTTTATGTCCTGTAAAAATAAAGCGCATAATCGCTTGATTGTGACTGGTGCGTTGATCTCAGTCATCACAACATTACACCAATGTGGGATCGAATGTTATTCATTAACATTGAATGCATGTAATTCAGCAGCGTTATGAATTATTCATGGAACACCGTGAGATCGTAGTGGTATCGTCTCTTTACGAAACACAAATGCTTAAATATTCTATGAATATCAAATGCATGGAGTATACGCCGATATGATGAAGATACTGATCGATGTTATCAGTAATCTTATACTTGTTGAAATAAACTTGTACCTTTATGAAAAATCCCACCTTTATCATTGGCAATGGAAATTACCATCATATGGTTATATCAGTAATTAAGTATTTTCTATGGGTTGTTTAGTGTCGTATATTGTTTTGAAAAAAAAAAACGTCAAATATATTTGTTTTGCATCGGTTCTATGGTCTACTACTAAAATCAAACGCTAAAGCAATTGAAGGACAAAAGCAAAGCTAAATATGTCGCGCGATGCCGTCACTGTGGGGCTATTGTTTAGAGTATCCGCCTTGTGCCATATCTGATTCTAACCGAAGCTTTGTTACAAACAGGGTTGATAGGTAAATAAATAGGTTTTCATTTAAAATACGAAAGGTCATTTCAATCGTAAACAAAGTTTGTTTAGCATGTCTTTATTGCAACGTTCACTTTAGCAAGTCATGTCATGATTGTAAATTATTTTCAAGGCTTCTCGCGTCGATCACATTACAATTAATGATGTTTTATTGGAATAGACACTGTACTCCCATAAGGCTGTATGTATGCGTTAATATTAATTGGTCATAAACAATAAAAAAATAATTGTAACAATTATCTCCCGCATATCGAAAATAACTTTTATTTACGTAAGCTGCAGTCGCATAGACAGCCCTATAGCAATTGATAAATTGCACAGACAAGTTTGTATTGCAGAGAGAGTAAAAATAGAAAGAGGGCGAATAAGCAACTGTAAGTACGAACACAGTCCTTACATGTGATTTGTGATATCCTGTGCAAATATCAATTGCACTTGAATTAGGCTTATAGTTATATTTATAAATCATTATAAGTTAACCATATCTTAATAAACGTTCGTGTTAGATGAGCTTTAAACTTATATAGACTATTCTACACATTCTGTGACTGAAAGTTATATTTTAGATTCTTACGTCTTTCATTATTATATTATTCTGTGATATTATTAGTTCAATGTATGTGTATGTGTAGAGACAGCTGACACAAAATTGTCTCACTTAAGAAATAGATTATAGTTTGAATTTAGATCTACTACTACCATTACCCAATAGCTTTTTTTTTAACGTCGAGGAAATGCATTAGGCACTACCCCTGCCGCCCGGCAAGCGACAAGGGGTGTGTGGGACTCTCCTTCGTGAGCCCCGTGGCTAGCCGCGCGGTGGGCTCCCGAAGGCCTACCCCACAAAAACCCCTACGGTGTACCCTTCCCTGGGGATGAGACCCAGGGTGCCGTGACCAAGTCGCCGGGACGCTCACCCGGGGTTTCGGAATCTTTAGTCCCCCTCACGGAACCATTACCCAATACCTAATTCAATGCGTATTTACATTGATTATATTTTGGCCACAGGGGCACTCTGAGTCGAAAGGAGCTAAGAAGCGGGACAAGAGTGTTAGTGGAAACGGAAATGGGAAACCGTCGCGAGGTGTCGCTACCTCTTTCGGATTTCGTCGGCGGCCGGCCAGCACTTCACGCGCTGACGACAACTCCCGACGGAAGAAGGCACAGGATAAGAATGGAAACGGAGGTGAGAAATTAATTTCCATGGTATTTTTTATGAAATTATAATGCTCAGAGACACGCCCTGCCACCTTTTGGGCACAACGAAATATCGAACGTGCGAAGCAAATCGATATGACAGGGAAAGTATATTTATTGAGAGAACAATAAACCCGTTCCACGTAAACACCGCATTGTTACTGATTCAAAGTTCTAGTATACTCTTAAAAAAATTTCAAATATTAAACTTAAAATTGAACAAAGTCCAATTAAGAAAGATATAGAAATTAACATTAAAAACCGCTTTGCAGATCCATGAAGGTTTAACGGAAGTTTCTAACTATAGACTTGAGCTAAACAAAATTTTGTAAAAAATATATTTAACGGTGTATTCCATGAATAATATCAGTGGAATGTCATAAACAGGTTCCACAGAGGATTTGCGTGTGGAGGAAGTACTGTCAGGACGGTCAACTCCCCTGGCACGGCCACGTAAAGAAACGGCTGGGCAGCCGCTACGGACGAACAGGTAAAACACTTGACATACAATACTTTAAATATATTTAGTTTCATTTCATTTGTCCCGATATTTGTTCTTCTGAAATCAAATCTTGTAAGCTAAAATTCACCCATTATCCAGTGCCTTTTTAAGCTGAAATTTAAAATATACATTTAGTTCTGATGACAACGCAATGCTGATGTCAATTATATATAATCGATATTATTATTAATCCAAAACGACCACTGTAACAAAATGACGACGTACTTACATATTTCCGAAAAACGTACAGAATATAAGTATCAAATGGAAGGGCTTACCTTGTACAATTCACCAAATTAAAGCTTGTTTTAAAAATAAAATCATTACCTTTTTAAATGGTTATAATTTTAAAAATAATCAGTTTTAAAGTTATTGTAGAAATAAGGCGAGAATTTGACCATGCCCCCATGATCTCCGAAACCTAATATCTAGATTTAAACAGGAAATATTTCATTAAAATTTGTTGTCTCACCTCGTCATTATTTGCTGTGTTCTCACAAACTCGGTTCTCATGTTCGGTTTTCATAAAATGATTCATTTTTATGATATTAATTACGAATATTGCAATTTTAGAGTAATCTGAAAAATAATAAAAGAATTAAATATCTCATTAGTTTAATCATTCGCTGATATAGAAGTTTGTTTTACATTAGCGTTATGTGATTAAGTAGGTAAATTGTCTAAAAAAAGCAACCTCATTAGCCTTAAATTTCTAACCTACCACGTGACCTACAGTCGTGAAATTTAGTTCAGATCATATATAAAAAGTATTAATATTCTCACAAAAATATCAACCAAAATGTGGTGTTGCATATTCTAAAGTCATATTTAGAGTAAGTTTACATACCAAAATACTGAATTTGTTCAGGATTTTGAATAATATGAAGTTGTAATTTTATCATCCTCTGAATCTTAATTAAAATCGTGGCTTTATGCTTTTTGGCATATACCTGCGATATTAACACTGTTATCTAGACAAGAGAAGTAATTACTTGAGAAAATATCATAACTTAAGCAATTACCTTTAACCATTAAACGATAAGTTGAATGAAATTAGAACTGTTAATAGTTAATAATAATAATATTATTACTATTAACAGTTCTTATTTCATTCAAATTCTTGTTTATTTGCTTAAGTAATAGGGATGACGATTAATTTTTGTGTGTTTGTCCGTCAGGTAGAGTGTTAAAAAATATTAAACACGTATATTTTTCGTAATCATAAAATTACGGCTTTACATGGAGTTGAAATTTCGCATGACGTCACGTTATGGTACGTTTTCTGCTAAACTGTGACGTAGCGAGCCCCCACTCCTCAACTTTAATGCCTGTTATCTAAGCTATTTCTTGTTAAATTAAAGTAAAAATAATACGTATCTAATATTTTTCTATTATCTGACTAACGGACTAAATAGAATTGCACTTTTTTTACCCAGTCGTCATCTCTATTACTTTTACTCGACTATAGATACGAGTGTAAGTTTCTTCGACTGTTCATAAACATAAAGTAGCAAAATTGGTAAAAGTTTTGTGTAATTTTATAATTCATTTGTAATCGAATACAAATATAAATGAAAAATAAGTACGTCTATCTAAAAAAACAATAAAGCAACTGAATCAAACGAAAATCATTGTAGATATACTAATATCTACAATATTCACTAGAATATATAAAAACACTACTTTGATCATCTCTACATTGGCAAACACTCTCTTACTGTAATTGCTACACTTTTGCCACCAGGCGTTATGTTTTATCTGCGGAGTTCACAATCAAAATACATAAGTTTGGTGTGGTTAAAATTTTCAGATTTCCTACTACGCAATTGTACCAAATCGGTAACCTATTAACTGTACAATATTGAGAACGCATATGTCTCTAGAATAAGAAGACAAGGAAATGTTGCTCAAATTCCTAAAACCAGGACAGCGTTTGCTAAATCTCAATTGCAACGTAGAGCGATTACCCTTTATAATAAAGTAAACAATAGACTTACCATTTATCCGATGAATATACATGACTGTAACAAAATAATAAAAAACTGGCTCGGAACGCTTGACTATGATGAAACTGAATTTTTGTTACAGACTATCACTTAATATATATTTTATTTTATGTTTTACAATTTACTCATTGTACAATTTATTAAACAAACAAACACACTCATACACATACGCACACACACAACACACACACATACACACACACACACACACACACACACCCAAACACGTAGAGAGAGAGAAATACATACTTACTAATTAAAAAGATTGTAACTATTTTATATTTTAAGTCTTTTGTCAATACTTTCTGATAAGGAGGATCCCCTGGACCAAGCGCCTGTTTTGGCACTTAAAAGAAGGTCTCAACCTATGTACTGAGAATGTAAATGTTTTAGACAATAAAAATATTATTATTATTATTTCTTAAAGTATCCTTATTAAGCATTATTTCATAACAAATACCAATCATAATCGCAGTTACATTATTCTTTAATCCTATAAAATTTTCAGCCGCAAATTATAACTTAGTAGGTGCCTATTACAGATATTTTATCGAGGAACCTCTTACTCTTGGTGTCCGGATCGCAAAGTACGAATCTGCACTGGGCTCACGTTGACTTATGTCTTATTGTGATTTGTATATATGTGATTTTATCCATAAGACTTAAGTTATAGTGGTGACGGATATAATTATAAAATAATTAAAAGATAAATAAAAATAATATATAATTTTTACTGAATACGGATAAATTAAAGGATATTGTTACGCTTTTACTAACCATACTTAAGACTGATTGCCAAAGTATGGTGAATGACAGACTGTCTTATCCTATAGGTTCGGTTTCAGGCAGCCCCACCCGAAGACGGCGAAGGTTGGTGACGTGGGCATGGTGGCGGAACAAGCTTTCAGTATCAACGGAAAAGAGAAGGAAACTAATATGTACAACAATAATGCTTTAGGTAAGAACAAAGTAGTATGAAATATTTTTATAAAATAAAGAATTACTATAACGTTTTTGTTTTTCTACAACACTAATAAATAACAGTGCAATACTAAGCAATTAGCATACCCTCATCGAAAAACGTTAAACAGAATAGCTTATCTGAGTTGAAAAATATGAATCCAATTTTTTTTACTAATAATCTGAATGTCAAGATAGGAATAGATACTCAGTCAGACGCAATTTTTGGGTAAGAAAATGATATCTGTTTTAAAAATTAAGCATTTTAAATACATTCAATAGCTTTCTCGTCAATTACCAAATAAATATATTTTAAAATAAAGAAACATACTCATAATCAAGACCAATAAATTACACCACATAATATTCACAAAGTGTGAAATTATGACATGGCTAGAGATTCGTTACGTTAGAGAGGGTTTGCCACGTGGTTGAAGCCGTGGACGTAGTACATATATATCAAACATCTAACCTTTATCAAAGAAAAAATATATGAATTCTTTCAATAGAAATTATCTTTATATATATCGTGTATTCCAGATAAAAAGAGTACAAATTCGTACAGCAACCAGTTACCATTGATGGCAACTCAAGTTACATCCACCGGGGTGACAACAGTGGTAGGGGCGGCTGGCGTGCCCAAGGCGGTCACCAAGCAAACTGTCATCCTCACCTATCAGCCACAGCAATATACGGCACAGGTTGGTACATAATAAAAAAATTGATTCATCAATATCAAGTAACACGTTAAGAAATAGTATAGAGTCAGTTCAAAGGGATATAATTTAATATACTTTGAACGAAATTATTGAAGTAAAAGCCGTAGGTTCATGAGATTTATCTTAGATCATAGATACTTATTTTCTATGTAGAATGACATACTTATAACAAAGCAAAACAAATTTATAAGATGTCGGCAATAATCATATTAACAGTATGTTTTTACGTACCAAATTTAATTCCAAATTTATTTTCAAAGAAACGTGATAAAATCTATAATATTTTATAGAGTTCTATCAACTATAAAAATATACCTCATCAGCACCTCATATAGTTTATTTCCGCATCAATGCTGTATTTTTGTATCATTCAACGACAATTCGAACTCAAACAGGCGAGAAAAAATCCTTATTGACATAAGGATCCATTTCTATATAAAAATAAAATACTATTAAGTACCTACCTCACTTAAAAACGGCTGAATCGTCTTGTTTTTTTTTACTTTCATAATAATGCAATAAGGTTTAATTCAAATTAAACTTAGAATTATCTGTAATGTTTAGAAATCCCTTTTCTATAAATAACTTAAAGCATAACTATCAACTGATGAATTTTTTGAGAGAAACCTACCAGCGGGTTGTTTTTACATGTGAAGTTGTAAACCTAATGGTCACTAATATAAATAATCTAATGAAAATTTGTTTTTACAAAATAATGATCATCAATTAACATTTTATAATTATTTACTCAGAAACAGCAATAATACATTTTACCTACATTTCCTTATTTTCTATTAGTGATTCGCATTGACCTCGAAATACTTTCAGTGCTTTAGAAATATATTTCAGTCAAGGTTAGTATTACAAAGAAAGAAAATAGGTTAACATTCGAAGCTTTTTAAAATCACGTAGCAATATTGAAAAAAAACTTCACTTTCGCTAAGTAAATGTGCATATGCTTGCATGCAAACATTTTATTACAACTCATTTAGATTAAGTTTTTTTTACTTGAAAAGGTGTTAATTTAAAGTGAATACCCCTTTTCTTCAGAAGAATTACATAAAAATAAATAAAAAAATGTGTCTTATTCTACATACCAATACTTAATTAATCGGAAGTGTCTCAATGTTTTTTTTTATTTAAATATGTTCAAACTGTGGCCAAAGAATGCAATTCATTTCACTACTGATTGTCAAAAAATTGTTAGACATTCACACATTTTGATATATTTGTTTCTAGGATGGAAGAACCAAATCGGGCCCTGGTGCTCGTGCACCAATACCTCGAATGCAAAGTGAAACCCAAAAGCCTCCAGGCAAATATACCTTCCAAACTAATCAACTGCCCCGACCTCAGTATCCCGCTGTCAAGAATATAGACCCGAAAGCAGCAAAGCAGGTTTGTTTGAATAACAATATAGAAAATAAAGGAAAGCCTAGAAATTAAAGAACACACAGCGGTGATGTCAAATAGTTTTATAAAAACACCAGTGGGGGTTGGGTCCGATGGTCTCTTTGCCGGATCCCGGATACTCTCCCCAAGCGAAGATACTTCCTCCCAGACAAATTTTATCAGGTTAGCCTACCTGCCTTATAGCCTTTTCAGGAGCATTTCACTTCGCCTCTTGGTGCAGGTGCAAGTGGTCAGAAAACCCTGCTTTAACAAAAACGTTTTTTTTTATCTGTAATGCTGCATTTTACAACTCGCTGTTTATGCCAGTACAGGTAGAAACTATCTTTCATCTTTATAATGTTCGTATAGCTCACAAAGATAACAGACATTCTCTATAAGAATAGACTATTAACTATGCAGTATTTACAGTAATAGGTAATAGAGAAAACATGATCTAATATCTACATATCTTTGATCGTATGCGATTACTTGAAGACTTGTAGCAAACAGTTGAAAATAATACCAACGAGTAGTGCTAGGGTTCAAAATTGGGTTTGAATAATCACATATACACACGTAAAAAGACGACATATTTGTCCTATATTAATAAAACGAAATCTACGAAACTACCTATAACAATAAGAAAAGTTGTTTCTAGTATTCCGTTTTCATGTCAGGAACTATGAAATATTATGTAAAAGATAGAAATGGTCATAAAAATCTATATTTCCTCTATAAATTAATAAAAAGTAGAAAATGGATTACACAACAACAAAACTCCCCAATATTTTTTTATAATTTTGGATGCTGTTGCTTCGAACGTAAGAATTGTTTTCCCGTAGACGCGGAAATAGGTCAGTAGATATCATCTATTTGCAGTGTGTCGTAGAGATGAAAGCCGGTCGTCGTTTGCTAAAAATATGTGTCGCTGCACACTGCATCCAATGTTCGACGACTGATGTACATGTGATTTTGATACCGATAATATATTTCAAAGAATTATAAAAATACGTAACATGAAATTACTCACTGTATCTTTATTATATTGTCAATATTATTTATTTCTACAAAAATGAAATAAGCCCTAATGAGCAGTTTCGTAACATCACTGAGTAGATACCGTCTAAATTATCTACTACTTTCATGAATATTTTATTACTTGCTCATAATAATGAAACAAATTAATTATACTCGCATTTTCTCCTAGTTCTAGACCGTGAAATGACGTGTTGTTTTAGAATCGCTTCGTAACATTTTAATAATTATTATATTTTATTGTGTTCTCAAATTAAATTTTGTAATTAGTATAAAAAATATTTTTTGTGATCGTAAAGTTACTTTTAGCAAAGACAATTCTTGTCTAAATTTGTTTCTTCCATTAATCATCAAAACATCTTCTGTAAGTAAAAAAATATAAAGATTATAGTTTAAAAATGGTGTAAAGATTACCTAAATACAGACTGCTAAGGGTTAATTTAATGAAACATATCTTGAGACAGATTTTTAATACGTACGCTCTTGTGACGTTCTTGTTATTTTTAAACAGTTGACCAACAAATAAACTCGTGAGTATTTCGACATCGGTTACTATGACTCGTAGGGTTCCCTGGTTCATTCGTTGACATGCACTTTGGATAGCGAGATGGTTGTGATTTTTTTTTAAAGTATTGCATAATAAATAAGCGTATTAAGTGAAAGTGATTACAATGAGTGTATTTTTTGCAGGTGGTGAATAACACAAGGAGGGCCGGTGCTAACGAAGGATGGAGAGAAGGTACGAGTAAGAATTTCTGTATTAAAAATAGTTTAATAAAACTTTAAAAAATAGGTAATATTAACAGAAGACTATCTCTAATTTTACCTATAGTATTTTAGTATAATACATTTACTTTTCGAATGAACAACCATTTAGGCCGTGTGTCGTTTTTTTACTATCAAGCAAACGATGATAGATAAAAAAATAAATAAACATTATGTTAATACAGTTTATTTCCAGTTCATTTCAGTTTTGCCTTTGTTCAAGTCGGTTTCCAATTCTTCATGCAAATTTAAGATTATTTGTTCGGGCCATTACCAAATTACGACAATAGTAAATTCAGTCCACATCAAAAACTTTCAGCATATATCATTGAAAAATAACGGATCTAAATTTTACACATTAATGTCTCACATAAATTTTAGAGATAAATCCATAATATTATAATCGTGAAAGTAACTCTATCTGTTTGTCTATTACATTTTCACGCCTAAACGAATAAACCGATTTTAATGAAATTTGGTACACAGTGCACACAGTTTGGATTTTGAGAAAGGACATAGGATTTTTATCGCGAAAAATAGGCTTAAAGGATTTCCACGCGGGCGGAAAGCTAGTTATATATTTCATAACTCTTGCTTAACATAAAATAATTAAAAGTTTGTTTTTGAAGCTTTGTTCCTAAATTGCAGAATTGTCAATGTTCTACTATTACGATGATTTTGTACTTTTAAGTGAAACTTCTTAGGTGCCGGGTCTGCAGTGTCAAGTGACTCCGGCGTGTGGACTGGGGGCGAAGGGGTGGGGGAATTGTCTCCGCGCTCGCGCCGGCGTCCGCGCAACTTGGAGATGGTGATGCGCGGAGCTCACAGTTTCCATCTCAGAGAGTTACAAGTTGCAGACTTGGACATTATGGGTAAAGGTTTTTTTTAATCCTATTTGGAACGGGAATGTGAATTTTCAGCGAAAGCGAGAAATCGAAAGTATTGAGTTGCATTTCAGAAACACACCCTTAAAAAAAATTGCGAAACGTCTTTCGCGCGAAACTTTTTTAAAAAGTAATTGTAACTTTTACAAGTAAATAGTCAAAAAGGAAAACCAAAGTGGGAAGCATTACAAAAAGATTTGAATGGTCAACATGACACAAGTAAACAATTTTTCTCCATCTTGTCCACAGATGACGCTGTAGTAACTGGCCACACAGTTATACCTTTACCAAAGCTACCCAGTTCTTTCGACGATGAGCTGTCTCCAGAATATGAAACTCCTGTCCCCACCTATAAACCTCCTTCTCCCATACTCCCGAAACCAGCACCGGCAGAGATACAAAGACAAAGTCCTATGTCAACACTGGAGCGATACAGGACAAGAACCAGGCCTAATAGGATCCAGACCGCTCCTGATAAAGACGAAGAAAAGTTTGTGTTGGATAGGGCACAACCGGAATTACTTAATAAGCAGGTACTTAAACTAATTTTAATAACACTTGTTAATGACTTTCTGTCAGAATTTTAAATGATAACATCTTGTTGTGAACATCCATTAACATTAATTTTTTTATTAAATTTATGCGACATTCGATCAGGTGCACAAACGTCTATTGACTCCCTTAAAGCTCTAATGAATGTTAAAATTGTATCGCTAATGTCGCTTTAATTAAACTAATAATTTAATTACCAAATTTAGAACATTCATTAGAACTAAAAATTGTCATTAAACCATGATGGATTTTGTGCAACTGGGTGTTCTTAAATAGATTTTTTAACCAAAGAGAACAATGTTAATCTACATATTGTTTTTTCAGAACTCGTTCATAAAATCGTCTAGTGGGCTTGTGTCCCCAACTACTATCAGCTCTAGTAAGGAATCTAGTCCATCCTGCAAGAGTGAGGAAAGTCATTTTGGCAACAGCAGCGCTTGGCAAAGCCACGCTGCCGGAGAAGCCATGGCTACAAGGTAATACAATATACCATTACATTTTCACTTCTTTATCGCTTAAATTTCTAAAATTACATACATAACTTAGAATAAATATACTTGAATGATTTTCTAACATAAATGCCTAATAAAAATATCCTTCCGAATATTTAATTCTAGATCACAAGATGATGTGTCTATAGCCTTAAGCGTATCAAGTTGCGAGGACGAGAAGTCCAAGTTGGAAATGAAGGAACCCCCAAAACCAGCTGAATTGGAAATCCCCAAAAAGACGATCGTCATAATGGACGAACCCCCGGTACCGCATCCTCTTCTCATGAAGTCACTAACACTAAGTCAGCAAGATAACTTGCGCAATAACATGATGGGTAAGAATAAAAGATTGTTGTCTTTAAAAAACTACCTACAATACATGGAAGTTGGTTGTTCGTTCATAACTACGTGCGAAAATGGGCATGTGAAGTAGCTTGTAAATAACAGATTAATCATCATCATCAGTCTATTAACGACCCCAATGCTAGAACACATGCCTTCCCATGGATGAAATCTAATAGGAAGAATGTGCCACAGCGCACCGCGCTGGCTAAGCGTGGATATATGGTTGTTAACGATTGCAGATGTATCTGGAAGTAATAGCTAAACGTGCCTTCCGAAAACTAAAGATAATAAATATGTGGTCATGCATTCTATGACTGACTCTCACGAAAGTTACTAAACTTTTGCATTACAGACCCAAAGCACTAACCACTGTGCCGTAAAGCTCTTTTGAATTCACTTATATTATTGGCATATTTTGTTATTAAGGACGAATGAAGTCCTCAACCCTATTTGTATAAAATTCACTTGAATATTTTATATTTTACAATTTTTTGCAGGTTCGATGACCAGTTCAAATTATAGTACCACGAGCACGTGTACCAATCAAAGTGGCGATCACCACAATCTAACTCTCACTCTCGAAGAGTCCAAATTCGATATGTCCGCTCTAGAAACTTCTACACAAAGCTTACTCGATGACGAAACTTCACCTGCAGACAGTCTCATATCTTCTACCAGCACTAGTGATTCGAATAACGATCTGCAAGTGGAGAGAGACGCACCATCAATATCATCGGCTTATCAAACTGCTAACACAAAGACAAGGACACCAGATCCGATTGTAGAACCAATTGGTGGAGTGGATGGAGAAATATTACAACCAGTACATGAAATTCAGTAAGTTCTGTAATTTTTTGTTTCATTGAATAGTACAAAATTATACTTTAAATTTAACTAAGAATTTTGTGAACTTATGCTCTTATAAAATATATTTGGTAATTTGATCTTAGATAAATTTTGAGAACTTAAACTTAAATTATCGAAACTATTAATTTCCCCAGAGCATAGCTCATCTACGTGAGGGAATAAGCTCAATGCAGGCGTTAAAATCCATGCATTTACATGTAGCTGACATATGAGTTGACGAGCATTAAAAGCTCGAGATAATAAATTTTTAGTCATTGATCCTATGACCAAATAACTTTATTTAACCTGAACATCGCAGACCAAACTTGCTAACACATCACTTTCGAAACAATCAAAACTACAAAATTTAATTATAAAGTATAATGATTTCAATTTCTTCTTCAGTGAGGTTCACAGTAATGGTGGCAGCAAGGAAGGCAGCAAAAATGCTTCCCCTGATACGCCCGGGACACCAACACATGCATCAGGGTCACTTTCACTTTCTGACGGACGGGACTTTTTTGACGATGAAATCGCAGATCAACCTGCTTTGCTTTTCCGAAGTAAGAAACCACCCAATATTTTAAGACCCATCTACTTCAGACATTCAAAAATTTATGTCTTGTGAACGAAATACGTAATTTTATCTATAAATAAAATTACAATTTCATATTCATCACCAAACTTACAATGTCCCCACGCCTGGGGCTCAGACCTTCCCTATCGATGGAATCGAATCGAATAGGGAGAATGGGCTATGGCCAACCACGCGGGCCGGGTTAACAACTCTAGATGTAGCAGGGACCAATGACTTAACGTGCCTTCCTAAGTACGAAAAAGTATAATAATTTTGTGGTCACCCATCTTATGAATGGCCATGGCGAAAGTAGCTTGATAACCGTATCGAAGACAGAGCGCACTAGCCACTGCGCCATCGAGCTTCTCATTTTCATATTAATCGGTTCGGTAATCTACAAATAGTTTATATATGTGCATGTACATATATTACATTCCGTTATTTCAACAGAAAATAATGACGGCAGCAATACAATGAATAAGGAAACAGAAGCGAGCAGGCAGTTAAGGAGGTCACGGGAGCGAATAACTGCTACTGCTAGTCCACTAGTTCAGAGAAGCCGAAAATGTAAGTAAACTATTTCAATTTTAAGATTTATGAGACAAATTTATAGTTTTTAAGTAATTAATATTTCGCTTCATAGATATGGAATTTCTAATAAACTAATACTAGGTTTCATTACGACATTGCATTTTTTTAATATCGTGGTATTAAAGTACTCACACTTACACACCAATGAGTTTAAAAGACGTAGGTACAAATTCTTCCTATGTCTGTAGACTTTAACATCTTTGTTTACATTTTGGATAGCAACGAGGACTTATTACTCGTATAATCCCCGCTAACTTTTTAACTTTAAATAACTTTTTAAAAATGGAACACATAGTAAATTCGAAAAGTTTTGATTTAAATTTATTTTTTTATATATTCAATCGAACTCTTTTGAGTTCCTTTTTTGGTGGGAAATTAAAATTTCTCTATAAAATGTTTGATAGGTCATAATAATTTAAAATTTATAGCATTTATTTATTTTGTAACAGTATGCAGTGGTCGCAATGGTGGTACTGAACGGACACCTTCTTTAGACACGCTGTCAAGCCTCGCGTCTGACGATCTTATGATGGACAACGATCTCGCACAATCAATCACCAGTCTACAAAGTGTGGACGACTACATTGAAAGGTGATTTCTATACAAACCAACATAATTCTCAACTGTGTAAACTTCTTAGAAACCAACTTTTGTTTCACTCCGTGCGAATTCTAATAACAAAAATATTGGATAAAGGAACCAAATAAATTATCGAGAGTCGTAATAAGTGAAGTAAATATAGCAGTAGAAGATGTCTGCAATGAGAAAACTTACATTAAAGCTGAAATATTTCTCTCAGATTGGACATTAAATACACATAAGTGTTTTTATTCGAACTACCGTAGTATTGGTTCTCTTGCTCTTCGAAATTTTGACGTTGGTTTCATTTTTTGTATAATCAAATCTTACAACTTAAATTTCCTCCCAAAAAACCACTTCCAGGTTTTCAATTGAGAAAAAAAATTACTTTGATAACAATGCATTATTAATTTGAATTGAAGCTGGTCTGATGATAAAGCAGGAAGGTACAAGGAGATGATGCAACCCATAAGGTTTGGACTCGTTTTATTTGTCTTGAAAAGGATGTTGGTCCAAGATAATATCCAGGGTAATAATCAGTCTAGAAGGGAGCTCTATAAATAACTCAACCGTTGAATATGAGTGACTTTGAGTTGTTACAAGATCACTGGTACAGCACCAAAGGGCACCACGTCAGGCGAATCAAGAATTATTGAATTTGATTTAATTTTTACTCTAACTATAGGTATAGGCTAGTTATAACACCATAAAGATTAATAATTTAAAATTAGAATTTTCTTTTTCGTCTTCTATAGATAAATCAATGGGGTTGTGTTATTTTGTCTTTTAAATGGATTTTATACAAATTGTATATTTTTTCACAGGTTGGATAGCTCGCTGCGTAGCGGTCTTAACTCGCTGGACGAGAAGCAACTACGGCAGGAATTGTCATCTTCCAAGAACGCAGTGCGGCAGTGGAGTCAATTGTTAGAGCAAAATAACCTACTTGATCGGCAGCTTGCTGCTATGGCGCAGGGCAAAAGTACTGCTGACTCGTTGACGGCGAGCAACAACAGTCTCACCAGCATCGGGTGAGTTAAACCTTTATGTACAAAATTAGAATTTTTTTTCAGACAGGAGCAGAAGTATTTCAATTGACTCAGCTATGAAGTCAGCTGCCTAAAAGTTTACGATGTTAGGCAATGTGCTTTAGAGTCAGACGATTTTATTTTATTTTTCAGTCAATTATTAAATGTTAAAATCGAATATGTATTGTATGCTTTACTTTATAATACAAACAATATTCTTTTAATTTTAGTGACAATGCTTGATACAAAAATTATCTAAATACTTACAAAAGTACTCGAAAAATAGATTGTAATCTATTGGCACCCAGTTCTTTTTAAACATTATTTTTTATGCTTATTTTTATATTCGTTAAAATACGGAACAACAACGTAAATTTATTAACAATAAATAAAAACAATTTGAATATCTTTTGTATCTGATTAAAAACTTTGCATATTTTATATTAATTAAAACGAGTAGGCAGTTTTGCCATTCAAAACTTAAAAAGCTGAAATTTATTGTTAATAGTTTCCATATTAATAATATAAATAAGTATATTAATATAAAAAGAGACTTTTTACGACTTAGGTAAGTCAGACAACAAGTCGAAAGTAAAAAAGAAAGGAATAATAAATTTTAACATGCACATGCACATATTATAGTATTCAACAATATAGAAAATATGTTTTGTTTTCACAAACACATTTCTTTTACTATCCCTGTTTCGTATTGTCTTGATGCAGAAACAATCGTAACAAACTATAATGTTGATGCGGCGTATGAAAGAGGTGACGTTATTTATTGGTTATTGTCATTAGTGAAATCACTTTTCTTACGTTACGAAGATTTTTTTAGAACTTCAAATCTATTAAAAGGTGGTAAGGTAAAAATCTGCAGTTTTTTTATAACATTATTAGCGGTCAACCGCAGTTTCGCATGGGTATTTATCGAAAATTCCAAAAATTATACATAGAAAATATTCTATCGCCTATTTTCATCAGAAATTATGAAGAATTCTAATTGTAAAATATTTTTTCATTATTTTCGAAGATTCTTACCTACAAACAAACAAAGTTAGAAATTTTAATACTTTATAATATTAGTATAGATTATATAACAAAATATTAGACGACCTATTTTTATCGCCGAAGAAAACAAAAGTATTTTTTTATTTATCACTAAAAATAATGCATAATTAAAAAAATAGACTTCAAAACATCCCAAACTTCTTTTATTTCTTACAAAGAAATTAATAAAAGTGTTCATAAAGAGAAACGATTTACATACCGCCTACCGCAGAACACAGAAAACGAAAAATATGTGTTTAATATTCTTTAAAATCTACCTGACAAACAAACAGAATTTATTCATCATCCCGAGTATATATTATTATCTATTTAACTAACACTTTATTTTTATGTTATTTTGGATGGCATATTAAGTACTCGTATTATCGAAAGAAGCCAATAATGGAAGAAATAAGCATTTGGTTAACATTTTAATACATTTACCATTGTTTGCGTTGCCTTTCAATATCCTTGTTATTTGTCTTCTACCCCCGCTGTCGCTTGCGCAGTGTTGCGTTCAGGAACAACCATTTTTCGATATAGCTAATGAATGATTAAAGCTTAATCTGCACAACAATATACTAAACACTGAAAGAAAATCACTGTTGTCAAACAGTAAGCTTGTAACGAGTTACAAAGCTAATATTTAAAACTTCAAATATCTGCACTTTCCATGCACAGTATCTTATAGTAGAAGCAATTATCAACAATAACCCAATCTACCTTAATGGAATAATCAAAACCATTCCACTGTCATTAATACCATTTAAAGTGCAAGGTTAATGCTGAACGTTTTGTTTTTTCGATTGACTTTGTTCTCAATCGTTGAGTCAAGGACACATACTGTTTCTTTCCGTTGTTTACCTCTTTTCCCACTTGAAATAAAATGTAAAAAGGTAATAGGAAAAGGGAACTCTTCTTTGTGAGATGTAATCGAATTCGTTTGTACATTTACATTTTAACAACTGTAATTGCAACAGACGATGTGATGCCTGGTAGAGGTTTAGTCTTATCAGGGTTTCTCAAAGTGGCAGGTATCAATCCCTTGGGGTCGAAAACGATTTCTCAGTGTTCTACATAAAGGAAAACTCATTTTGAGGGTCGACGACATCTGATACACAAATTCTTATTTAAATTGTAAAACCAATATTTTAGTACAAATGTCTTACGTTTTTTTTTAGTTGTATGAGGTACTGAGGTACCACTTTATTTTGAAAAGGGGTCCTTTGCCCAAAATAGTTTGGGAATCCCTAGTCCAAGCAATCCACGAAGATTGTATACGTGACTTTTGTTGCTTCAAATACCGATATTGAGATCACTAACCTGTAATGGGATACAAAAAATAAACCAGTATAAAAGCTAGCTAACAAACTAGTTACAATTAATAAACATGTACGATTCCCTGGCGATTAATTCCAAAGATGAATGCCTCCCGAAGCTGATGCTGTGTCCACCTAATCTATAGTTTATATCAAATGAATATGAAGGAAATTATATTTTTTTCAAGTTTCATTGCAAAAAAAAACATTATTTACTAAAAGTAATACGTTATTTATTAGAAATAAGAAATTAATTTATGAAATACAAAAATAAATATGACCTAAGAGGACACGTACACTCTAAAACAATAACTTTCAATTAGTCTTATACAAAGGAAATTACAATTGTAAGCTGCAATTAAATATGACAAAGCTACATCATCTTTGTAATGGGTCTATGATAGCCAAAACATGAATTTATAAATATACTCATTTATAAAAACACAAAATTACCTCTTATATTCCCCATATTTTCGATTTTTTCTTGCTATTATGCTAATTTTATAGGGAATTAAATTGATAATAACTTTTATATCGAATGAATTATGCTACTCTTTTTTTTAATCATCATAATAGGTGGCGAATGCAGGCTAATTTGCCACCCCGTCTTATCTCACTTAATTCCATTTATAATGAGAATAACAGAGAATAACATAATATGACAATAACAGACAGTCTCTTAACTTAAAATGTTGAAGTAATAGGTGATTAATTTTTAAGGAAAAATATCATCTTCATATTATAAACGACGACTTCATTCTCCATGACTTTTGACTAGATAGATATCTACATGCATGTCAAGCTTACGAGTTTGATTACATCTGTACAGTACAGTATCAGTACAGTGATAAATTTGTTGGTATATCAAATAGAAATTCACAATAACATTTTTTTATAATACATTCGTAAGCTAATATTTTCTAACAATAGAAAAACATTAATTATTTAAAATAGTTATCTAAATGTTATCAATTTTATTTCGAGACAGTTTTGATTATGATTTTTCATAAAAGGTACAGCTTGCACATGATTAAATTATCCGCGTTACAATCAAGAATTAAATTGATCCTCACAAATATCAAATCGTGTGGGCGCTTTGTGGCCTCAATTTTCCAACAATAGTTAGCTTGAATAAGAATATAACAATGGCAACGATCTTTTAGCATTCTTGAGGCCGTCATGTGCAAAACTCGAACACATTTTCAATTATAACTTTGATAAAATATATGATTACACGACTGCTTTTAATAAGTATAACAAATACAAAATAAAATAGTTTATTAAAACAAATCTATAAAACTGATAGTTGTATTGTATCTGTCCTATTTGATGGAACTTGGAATATGAACAGCTTCTGCAATCTTAGTTCGCTGACAATACATATTTTACCTTCTAAATATATTGTATATTATTAAATATACTACACCAACACATATTTTATATATCTATATAATTTGCTATACATCGTAATAACTAATGAGACGCAACATAAGCTTATGGTTTTGAAAAATCGTCTATAAAGTGAGTACCTAATTGGTTACGGCCCCCGAATGGGAAATTGATAATGAGTCTTAATCTCGAGTTTTCTATTTGCGAAATATCATAATGAAGAAATAATAACCTAATGGATAAAATTCCCGTGAAACTAATTACAAGTCAGTTAAATAAACGTAATCGAATATTTCAAAACACCTTACCCACCGAATACTGTCAACGAGATTTCGTAAGAAATTTCGCGGTGCCAACGGCAATTTTCAAGGTGGATTTTACGGCGAGCTTTGTGACGAAAGGTCCTTGCTCCATGAGGTAATAATCAGATAAAGCAGTGCGGCAGTTAAGCGCATACCCGCTATGGGGCTTCGGTTCATCTCCGATTCTTATTGCGGCCGCACTGCGCTTGTACAAATGTTGGTCTCTAGTTAGTCTGTGTGGCGGCGCGCGCGCGGCATAACGTTCCATTAAAAACGCACGTATCTTTGATACATTATACGAACGAGCGATCGATTTATCGTAACGACCGTACGCGACGGGTGGATCAAACAATGTGTTGTGATTTTGTTACAGTGAACAATCCACACTTTAAGAATTAACCTAAGGACAATTTGTGCGTGCAAATATCGGTTCAGTTAATTAAATTTTAAGCTTATTAAGCTGGATTACTATAAAACAAAGAACTTATCATCGTCGCATTAATTAAAACCGAATTGCTCCTCTGATATCCATATCGGTTGTTCTCAATATCCAATGGGAAAATAAATCAAGAGGATTCAGTGGATTTTAAGTGAAATTGCAATTTGTATGATAAGTAGAATTAAAAATTAAATCTGTGCAAATGTGTTACCACATAATAAAATGGGTAGTTCTGCAAATTGAACTGATAAGTGATAATTGTTTGCGCAGTCCATCTGGTCAATGACACGTTAATGTATCCTTAATAAATATCAAACTACGTATGAACCAATATGTAAATTAGAATAAATGAAAAATAAACACGCTATATTTAAGCAACTTTTTCTTTCACAAAAACGCTTATTAAGCATCAGTAGACTGTGTTAACAATAGTTTGAAAGGAAACACGTTAATTTGTTTGCACTATTATCTACTCTTTGACTTCCTTTGTCAACACTGGGTGAACAATGTTTGGTAACGTTAGTGTGA